AATAAAATAAAATAAAATAAAATAAAAATACCTCTTCCAGGAAGCCAGAGCCCGCCGCACTGCGAGCACTGGGGGAGCTGGGTGTGTAGGGGTCTGCGTAGAGCGGGGAGCGGGGCACGGCCGGCTTCTCCAGGGAGCTGGAAGCTGTCGAGGGTTGACTGCCCACCAAGCTCCATCGGTTCAGCTAAAAGGCAGAATGGAAACGGGAAGATGACCTGCTGTTCCCTACTTGCAGTTCATGCCCAGGAGGGATCCGAGCGGGGAATCTCCCTGCGATTCGAGTCCCAAACGCTGCTCAGCGGTGCGGGACGGTGGGGATGACTCCTGACAGTGGTTAACAAGGGGACTTCCCTGGGTGGAGGGCAGATGCACACTCATTGAGGGGAGGGAAACACAGCATCACACACTAAACCAGCCATGGAGACATGCTGGAAAGCCCTCAGAAGAAAAGGCTGTGTCCTAGGAAGTAATACCTGAAAGGAGGTTGTAGTGAGGTGGGTCTAGGTCTCTTCTCTGAAGTAACAAGTGACAGGACAAGAGAAAATGGTCTCAAGTTGCACCAGGGCAGGTTCAGATTGGATATGAGGAAGAATTTCTTCACTGAAAGGGTTGTCAAGCATTGGAACAGGCTGCCCAGGGAGGTGGTGGAGTCACCATCCCTGGGGGTCTTTAAAGGATGGGTAGATGTGGCACTTAGGGACATAGTTTAGTGGGCATGGTGGTCTTGTGTTGACAGTTGGACTTGATGCTCTTAGAGGTCTTTTCCAACCTTAATGATTCTATTATTCTAATAATGCCCCTACTTGCAGAGCACTGGTTGTCTCAGGAATTAGTGCCCAGCATCTCGGGGGCCCCAACAGACATTGCTCCATTTGCTGTCTTTAACCTCACCTCCCATGGGCCATTTTCAAATGGAAAGGGGCTTCTCACCTGCCCTAGAGCCCCTGCCAGGACAATTATCCCTGCAGGCAGCACTCCGAGGAAACCAGCCCACTAGTTCCTCTGCTGCTCAACCCTCCCCAGGCAGGAGGACAGTCCCATCACCTCCCAGCTCCCTTACACTGCTCAGGTCCAGGTGTGGCGGGGGGGGAATGCTGCGAGCTGCAAGTGGAGTACGGCTCATTGTACACTGAGGACAGCAGCTCGCCATTGGGGTTTTCAGGAATGAGACTGCAGATGGTCCTCTCCGTGTCCTGGCCAGGCAGCTGCTGGCTGCAAGGTCCACATTTACCCTTGGACTTTCTAGCGCTGCCTCCTCTCCGCAGATCCTGTGCTGGCAGCCCTGTGCTTGGCCAGTTAGCCTGGGTCAGGCACTGAAATGAGAAGACAAACCCTGGAGATGGTTCTCCTCTGGATGGTCACCAGACCCACCTGCTGCCCACACAAGGCACTGTCCTGCTAGAGCAGCTGCTGTGGCATCACGATGTGGGACAGTCCTGTGGCCAGACCCATGTCCCACATGCTCCTCCCCATGCACACACACAGCCCTGGACCTACGAATGCTGCACAGGGTGAGAGCAAAGGCCTGACTAACTCATCACCTCCACCCACCTTGCTGTGGGATCTCCTGACCTTTGAACATTCACCCTTTTGCCATCTGTACAAACGATCCTACTGCAGAGCAGAGTGTTGGGATGGGACCCCCCAGCAGACTTTTCCTTTATCAGCAATGACAAGCCCAGGCTCCAGGCATGGACTGCACTGCCACTTAACAAACACCGACCACCCGAGCTCAGCCCATCCAGCCACCTGGATAGATCGCTCTGCTCACAGGCAGCGTCTGTCCCCACCTGTGTCCCAGGCTTTTTTGGGGTTCACTTACATGGAGAGGCTGGGAATAGCCAGGGGAGAGGGGGTCTTCGAGCACCCTGCTCTCAGGCATCATCACGAAGGACTGTCCATCAGCAAGAGAGCCGCTGTTCTGGGAGACGTGTGTTAAGGTGGCCACTCTCCCTCCCGACGCCCAGGAGTTCGTCCGGCCATCAGAGGTGAGCGACCCTCTCCCGCTGCCGCCGAACTAGATGGGGGAGAAGAACAGCCCATAGGAACAGCCCTCTGCCTGGCTGCAGGTACATCCCTCCCAGCCCCATCTCCCACCTGAGCATCGCTAGGTCAGCCCAGCCCATCCCTCCGTGCCCACACGCTGGGGTCGGACCTGGCTCTGGGCTGTGCCCACATGCTGAGCTGCTGCCGTGAATGAGGAAGGGCTCACAGCGAGGTGAAGGGTGCTGAGGCACCTTGACCCCATCCCAGCTGTGGTGCTGGCAGGATGGGTCTCCCCTTCCTTGCAAGACCCTGTTAACATCCTCATGCCAATGCCTCACTGCACAACACTGTCACAATCTATGGCCAGGGCTCTGCTTTTGAAGGAATTTAATACCATATATCCCTATATAATGTCATACAGGGCTTCAAAGTAATTAGTAGGGATCAGCAACTTGACAGCCTTTGAGCAGGGGACTTGAAGCAAAGTCTGTTGTGTCACAAGAGGACTCACAGAGACAGGACAGACAAGAGTCCTGGGAGATCTCCATCTATTGATGATCATGCAAACCCACATCATCTGTTACCTGGCTGGGGTGGGGCAGCTTTGATCCCGAGAAACTCTCTGATCCAGAGAGGGAGGAGTCGGCGTTTCGAAACTGGGCTGTTTTGAGACAGTAGAGCCACTCCTGGTAATCATCATAGCTGCGGCAGATCACCCGGATCGAATTGATCAGCCGGCCTGGAAAAACATCACTCACTGCTGTTGACTGACAGCCCACATTCCTTCCTTCAGAAACCCATGGGAATCCCCGTGCTCCATCCCTCCCCATGTTCTCCCAGGGTCTGGAGATCCTCACACCAGTGCAGGGACAATGGGAATGCTCTGCTGGAGCACCTGGATGAAGGTAAGGACAGGGGCTAACACAAGCTGGGTCTAAATGATGGGGAATCTGCGCAGACGTGCTGTGACAAGCACATCCCCAGGTGCAAGAGCTGCTGCTGGCTCACAGCCTCTCCCTGCCAGCAAAGCCAGGCCCTGCAGAGCAGCCAGGGCAGAGATGGTCCAAGATTTCCAAGCAGGTCAGTTCATAGAGTTTGGGTGCTGACGTGAGCAAGCACAGCCATGAAGATGGTCACAGCAGCTTAGTGAAACCAGCCCGACCCCAGGAACCTCGGTGGCTGCTGCCAGCACACCCCTCGGCATGCAGGACACGCACCTTCTATTAAAAAGGAGGTTTTCTCGTTCTCTTCAAATAGCACTTGGATGGCGTTGAGTGGCAGCTCGCCCTGTCGAGAGAGAAGCAGGCTTAGGACCACACAGCTGAGTGCAGCTCAGCAGGGACACCCTCCACTAGACCAGGTTGCTCAGAAGGAAGGAGAAGCTCAGCACCTAAATCCCCACGGCTAGGTCTGCAGGAGGTGAGAGGTGCCCAAGTTGCTGCTAATCTGGGTGAGGACTTGGGTACCTCTGTCCTCTCATAGGTGTGGGGCACAAAGAGAACTCCATCTCCAGCAGATTGACTCAGCCTTGTCCCAGTAAACTCACCCTCCCTGCTCACAGCTCTCTCCCATCACCAGTCCTAGAGCAGGAACAAAGCCAGCATGAGCCCACGAGCCATTTCACAAAGCTTTGTTCTTACAAAGCCCCTCCTAAGACCTGAGTTTGGAAAAACACTCCTTCCCTTCTAGCTCTTTTTTCAACTTTCCCACAGTTTAACAGCTGACTTCTCCAGAAAATTTGGCAAACGTGGTCCTGAACAAAGTTGTAGTTGCTGGATTGGGACTTCCAGCTTTGCAAACAGGAATCCCCACAATCCCTACCCTGCAAAGACTGACAAAGACAGTCCTGTACATGCCAGCTGCTGAAACGTGAGCTCTGGTGCTCCACGGCACAGTTGTGAATGCCACTCCTGTGACCCGAGCGAGGTTTGCTCCTGGCAAGCACTGCATGTACGTTCCTATCAGCAGGGAACCGAGGCAGAGAAGCCAAAGCAGCCTGTCCCTGGAAAAAACTGGAGTCAGAAGATACCACATGCTATTTCCCGTCAGTGCCTTTGCATGTGCATCCACCACTGTCCTCTCTGCCATCACCCTGGTGTCCCTTGGCCATCCCTGCATTGGTCCATGCCAGGCCTGGTTCTCCTGCAAAGCTCTGTGGGATGGGCAGGAGCCAGCAGTGTCCAGGTCTCCTCTTCTCCTGCAGCTGCATCCCATCCTCAGCTCAACATCAGAGCTCTGTCTGCTGCCAGATGTCCTTTAAGTGTCATCGCTGACAGTTTAATTCACTGTGATGGGCAACTTGGCACAAGGGCCAAGGGTTTGTCAACACTGAATTAGGATCTAGGTCTCTTCATACTCTGGGGCTCCCTAAGATGAATTTTCTTTACATAAATGGAACAAGAACAGTCCTGGGAGAGCAGCTGAAGCAGATTTTGCACTGGAACCATCTCACAGACGAGCTCATCACTTTACTTCTCATCTCCCTCTTTCTCTGAGCAGGGGGAAACCAAGTGACACACCAGTTCTTTGTTCCTTAGCCCCTGTTCACCTCACCTGAATGTCACCCCAACCCTGTCTAGGCAGGGGCAGCTGGTGGCAATGGCCCTGGGAGCAGCTCCTGGCCAGGATGGCAAACACAGGAGCTGGAGAGAGCTCAGGGGAGAGCTCAGTTCCTGCTTCACACTACTCTCCCCCATGCCCAGAAGCAGAGGGAGCAGAGAAAAGCAGGAGTGAATCACAGAATCACACAGAACTGCCTCGATTAGAGAAGCCCTTTAAGATCATCAAGTCCAACCATTAACCTGCCCCCCACCCCAGCAGCTCCCCCCTTGCTGATTTCCACCTCGCCCAGGGCCTTTTCCCACCAGTGCTGAGCCAGAGCCTCCTGCTTTGGGTGAGCCCCATCCTGGTAGGCTCAGCCCCTCTCTTCCCCTTCCCTGTCCCACACACAAACTTGGCAGCAGCAGCTCCTGTGGTTTGTATGAAACTGAAGAACAAAAGGGCCGGGCTATTCCTTCACACACAAATTGGAGGGCTCAGCGTCTGCTTGCGGGGAAGGGAAGTTAATTTGCAGAAGCCCTAGGAGAAGGCTTCTGTGCCCTGACATGCCTGTGGAAAATCCGGTTCCCACCGCCGTGTCACAGGCTGGTGAATCACCACTCTGCTGCTCTGATGGCTGCAGAGAGCCCTGCCATCACCCCAGCCAGCGAGACACCCAAGGACCAAAACTCATGCAGCGTGGGAAGGGAACATTGCATGGACAGGGCAGACAAATCTGATTTAAGGTTTCAAAAGAGATGAGTTAATCTGAGAGCCCAGCCCAAGCCCCCTTCCTTACATGGTGCCCCATTTCCAGGAGCTGCAAACAACATGTTCCCGAAAACAAGCTCTGAGGTGTGTCACACAAGCCACCAGATACTGGAAACCACCCTCTGATGTTAAACTGGGGATGGAGGAGAGCTCTGACTGGCATGTGTCCCTTCTCACACCCCTTCCCACTGCAGGCACAGCCATCTCCTCTGGCCAGGGAGATCCTCTGTGCAGGTCTTGAATTAAAAGCAGCCTGCATGGCTCAGGACCTGAGGTGGACATGGTAAAATCACATGAAGAGGGATCTCGGTGAGCTCACACTAAATTCCACAATCTCTGCAGGGTTTCCATATCACTGGCTCCTCTCTCAGTGACTAAGGAGGATGCTCCTTTGGAGGAGCAGCTCAGCTCTGCTCCATCATGTGCTGGTGCTGCTACACCTGCAGCTTCAGAGACTGTTCAGCACATTTGACACATTTGTTCTACTATGGGAAAACAGGACCAGAAAGCACAGGGCTGTTTAACAGCCATTGCCATGATGTCTAAGATGGATGGTGGCAATCAAGTTCAAGGGCTATGCAGGCTGCAGGCAATGCCAATGCAGCTCCCAGGGCCCACGGTGCCTGTCTGTGCTGTTGTTCCTACAAGCAAAGACACACCAGTGGACTAGAGAAGCTTGTCTCATGTCCCCTGGGGCACTCAGGCCTCCACATCCTCACTGGCCCTTCCGCTGGCGTGCCCAGACATTGCTCGGAGCTCTCACTCCACAGAGGGAAGGAGCAGAAAACGCTGTGCACCAGCAGCAACCTCTCTTCTCTGCCCACCAGCCAACTGACCACCTTTGTCCTTCCCCACCAGAAGCAGATGTGCTGCCTGGATGCTGCCTGCTTTCAAATAGTCCCATGGAGTGGGGTCTGGGAAGCCAAACCCCCACAGGGACACACTCTGGAACTCTCCCAGCTCCTGTCTCAAGCAAGCAAGCCAGGCTCTGTGCCAGCACAACCACACCAAAACATGCCAGCCTCCCTCCTCCCAAAAACTCAGATTCCTTGGCAGCCAGCTCCTTTCCCCCCAGGCTTTTGTAGGAGGGCAAGGTGTTTCTCATGGGAAGATAGCTTGCAACATCCCTCTGCCTGTTCACCTGCCAGCTGGCAAGGGAGCAGAGTGAAGGGAAAGCCCTTGCCAATGTGAGGAGAACAAGGGAACCCAGGTGGAGGAGAGCAACAAGCCAAAGAAATGATGAAAGAGTTGCTGTGGATGGGTGAGAGAAAGCAGGAAGATGCTCCAAAATGAACTTACCTTAAAACAAAGGCTGTTGCCCTCTTCAGATACTATCACCAGTGTGGACGGGTAAAGCACCAGCAGCCGGTCATGCTGCTCCTTGGAAAGTAAAGAGGAAGAAGGTTCCCTGTGAACAGCCAGACAGGACTCAGACCTGGAGAGCCCTTCACCGTGTCTCTCTGACCACAGCCTGAGGCAAAGGCTCTGCAAACAGCTGAGCTGCTTCCCCGCAGCTGGGCTCCACTGGCCATTCCTGCCAGCTCCAGCCACCAGCCCTGTCCTGCAAACACTTGTGCACATCCTGTCCCCAAGCACCACTGCTGCTGGGCCACGGGAGCAGTAACAAACCTTCTTCCATTTACTGGGATGTGGGTAAAAGGCACCTTCAGGGCCCCATTGGGTCAGTGGCAGCAGGTTGGCAGGACTCTGCGCTAGTTACTCCACCCATTGTCTTTTCCAAGCCATGCTGACAGAAGGTTCATCCCCAGAGATGTGTCCTACCTGGAAAGGCAGATGCTGAAGCTTCACTTTGGAAACACAGAGGACATCGCCTAGGGATTCCCGCTGGGTCCCTCTCCACTCCTGGACAGGCATGTTCTGCACGGACCATCGCAGCTCCTCCTTCCCTGCAGAGCTCTGCTTCCAGTCGTTCTAGGGACAGGAGCAGAACTGAGAAGCAGGGTAGACATGTCCTCCCCTAAGAGTTTAGCCAGTGCATGGCCCATCTCAGGACATTTTCAAGTGTGGCAGAAGCAGGGAAGAGTAAATAAATGTGTGCAGGAGCCAGTTTTCCACCTGGGACTGAACAATTGTACTTGGTACCCTGCATATCTGTACATTGCCTTTCAAAGGGGAATGCCTCTGTTTTACAAGTGGGGAGATGAAGACAGGGAGGGAAGTAAAACACCCCACAAAGACTGGAAGAGAAGACAGGTCTCTTGAATCTGGTCCTTTTCTCTAGGCCCCAGTCCTGGGTTCCTCATTCAAATATTCTGTAAACTCTGGATAAGTGCACAAGCAGCCAACTGTGTGAGAATTTCTCTGAAGCAGACCCAAAACTCTGTCCCTTCAGAGGCTGCAGTGCTGGCACCTCTGGGTCGCTGGTGTCCCTTTCACCACACCAGGTTCTCTTGTAAACCTTTCTTTTTGCACCTTTCCCTGGCAGGAGACTGCACAAAAGGCAAGCTCCAAAATGAGAAGCTGTGTGCACACACACACACACAGCAGACATGCAGCAAGTTGTTGTCAGGTCTCAGCAGCACTGGGCACCTCTGGGGTTGCCATTCAGACTGAAATGGAGAGGGGACAATTGCTACATGTTGGAAGGGCTGAGTTACAGACCATGCATAGCCCTGGGAGCTGCTGGAAGTGGTACAAGTGACACCCAAACCCCTGTGCACCACGTCAGAGGGGCAGCTCGTTGACTGCTGTAGTGAAGCGCTCAAGCAGCTGGCCTGAAAAAGGGGGATTAAGTCAGGAGATAACCCCACACCCCCTTCCAGTGTTTGGAAAGAGCAGCAAGCACAGCAAGGAGCATTTGGAAGTGGATCCATCCCTGGAGATATTCAAGGTCAGGCTTGATGGGGCTCTGAGCAACCTGCTCTAGTAAAGATGTCCCTGCTCACTGCAGGGGGGTTGGACTAGATGACCTTTGAGGGTCACTTCCAACCCAAACCAGTCTGTGATTCTATGATTCTATGAAATGTGGTGAAGACAGCTGAGAAGGGCTGGCTGCAGAGATTATCCCTCCCACTGAACACAGCAGGAGCAGGGCAGCATCCACCCAACTGGTCCTGGTTGTTCAGCTCTGAGCCAACAGCGTGGGCAACAGACACAACCCTCACCATCCCAAGACACTAACCTGAGAGAGAAAGGGCAAGCCAAGGCTTCCTCCATTTAGCTGGATCTGTTTCTCCAGGTGATAAAGCCACTGCTTCAGCTCTGACTCAGTAGGACAGAACACGATAAGGGGATTCAGCAGAGGACCTAGGTATGCGAGAGACAAGATGAGTTGAGTGGATAAGAGCACAAATTGCAGCATCCACAAGCCATCAGCTGGCCAAAGCTGGTATGCTCAGCACATCACACCATGGGCTGTCCATGTGTGCATTGCTTTGTTGGCTTCATGCTCCAAGTCCTTCCTGCCACTACCTTGAGTTCACATCCCCACATCAGCACCTTCTCACCGCCTGCTCATGTAGTCACATCTAGCTCTGCCCACCAGTCACTTCTCAGTCCAAAACCAAGCCAAGAACAAAAATCAAAGACACTACAAAAGCTCAGCTTGAAATCAACAGCCACATTTCAGCTTTAAAAGTCCCCAACAGCTTGTGAAAAGCATCTCTGCGGGCAGAGACTATCACGACGTGCTGCTGCAGACAGCCTAGCTCAACGCATGTTGAGTTAGCATGAAGCTTTTTTTTTTCATGCTATTTTTTAGTTTCACTTTGGCACTCGATATGCAGACCATCAGTAGCTTTCTGACACTATTTATTTATTGCTTCACCAAATCTAATCTGTTCCAGAGAAGCAGAAGCTGCTCTCAGACATACACTTGAAGGCAGGAACAGCCTTACACCTTGTTGATTTTAGTTTCCAGCTATCATCTGCTTACTAGTGTGGGCAAAATAGTCTCACACACCCTCTGCTACTCACTACAGACATAACCTAGTGACGTTAATAATCATTTCTGGCAGACTGCAGAATGTATGTTATGATTAATAATTTACTGGTGATCTCAGATTAAACCATACCTGGGGCATGCTCAGTAAGATCGGGTTTTGCGGGACTTGAAAGTATTCAGATAAGCAAGTGCACTGGATAAGCATGATACTTTGCCCTTCCGTGGAGTCTTTCACCCTGTAATTCCTGCACTGTTTATGGGCAACAGTTAATTAAGACTTTGAAACACCTCTGTCTGTCAAGAAATGCACTCAGGTAAACAAAACAGAGATGGGGAAAATGAGGCAGAGACTCCTTGAGTGACTTTCCAGAAGTCACTCCATTCAGAGCCATTACAGCAATTAGGTGTCAGGCATTACTGGGCACCCAAGTGTCTGTGTACCATCGTGGCTTTGGAGCTCTCTGGTCTCTTCTTGCCTTGGTTTCTCTGTCTTTACAATGTAGATAAAGTGATTTCCTACTTTATAGAGTTGCAAGGAGGGGATAAAGGTGGTAACATTATCTAGATACCCTGGCAGCTCTGAATACTTCTCTGGGCATCCAGGTCCTTGTACAAAC